CTGACAACCTGCAGCACCTAAGACTTGTTTCTGCTGGCACAGTACTTGATCAATATAATTCTCATCAATCACTCTAACTAAAGAGCTTTCCGAAAGGGAAAAAAAAAGTTTTTGCACTCTGCAAACCTCCTAAAAATGGCCTGTTTTTCACAAAAATGGGCTCGTTTTTTGTAAAACAAATTGCATGCATAGCCTTATGGAGGCTTATAGAGTGCTGCTGGGGGCTGGGGGGGGCAAGACACGGCCCATTTTTTCCTAATTTCTGCCCTCCCCAGCCCCCAGGAGCTCTCTGAAAGTATTATATGTCTAATCCTTCTTTGTAATGACAGGTTAATGCCAGACTCAGCTTAATGTTCCATATCAAACTTTTAACTTCTTATGTTTCATTGAGGTATATTAGAGATAGAAAGATAGAAAGATCTCAAAACTTATGGGGAGAAGGGGAAGCTATTGTCTAACTAGACAAGCATTTGCACAGGAAAACAGAGCTGGTTTTGATTCTTGTAATGTATGTAAGGCTCTGCATTATGGGTTCAAAAGAAAGGAAAGGCTTGAACTTCTAAAGGAAAGGTGGAATATAAATTGGATTAACAAATAATTTAGATGAGGCTCAGTATTATACTGAGTCATTATCATTATTCAGAATAGAAACATCTTAAGAATATTATAATAAAATATTTTTATTGTAAGAATATTAATAAGAGTATTAATTTTATATTTAAAATATTAAATATTATTCTAAGTATATCAACCTGAAGAATGGGAAAACCCTATGAAATTATAAGACATCTCCAAAGCCCCAAAGCCCCTTTTTCATGTTTACCAGTTTAATTTATTTTTAAGTCTTTGAACATCTTATAAATGGATAGGATAAGAGACAATTTAGGCTAATGTTTAACAGGACCTAATCTTAAAACCATACACTGGTTCTTTAGGCGGGTAAATATAGATAAATATTAAGTTTTAACATTATTTATAAATTTTAGGTCTGTTTTGCATAAACCAAAACTTAAGGTCTAGACGCTACTAACCCTAACCCTAAGTACCACAGTAGTCTAACTTTTACACAAAAGATGAAGCTAATTCTAACCATTATAACTATATATGCAATTAGCAAACTAGATTAGTCTGATAAAGTATGCTTTTAGTCACCTCTCCTTATAAAGGTAATATTAAGTTCCGAAGATGTCCCAAATATTTCAGATATCTCTATCCAGATAGGTTACCATTTTTATATGTTGTGCCTACTGACTCTCTTTAGTTAAGTTTCAGATTCTTTATTCCCCCATTTATCCCAACCCTATCTCCAAAATAACTCCACATCTTTGCATTTATATTTGGAAAAGAATGGTATAATTTTGGTCATTCACATACTGGCAGGAAATCATTATGGAAGAGAATTTGAGAGTATTCATAAAATTGTTAGATAATATGGGATATTTGAGATACTGATTTTGACAAGATGGAAAATGGAATATTTAAGATATTAAGCCAAAAGTTTTTTTTTATAAAGAAGATCTACTTTTTAAAAATACTGCCTTTTAAAAATATTCAATCAACTTTTAGCTCTTCTTCTAATACTAATGTATGCATTTTCATAACTCAAAAAACATACATCCTGCAAGTCTCCCCTTTAAAGATTCCTGTTGGTGCCAATAAGTTGCATTATACAACCAAGAAGATATTAACTCAATCTGTATCAAGCACAACATTCAAGTCACCATGGAGATGAGTAATTTGAACAGTAAATTCTGGGGAAAATGTACTACAATAGGCTTTTTGTGATCTTTATTCTCATGTACCAGAATTCAATAGGCTTCTTTCTACCCAGATTGCTGCTGTGTTTTGTTGCTGAGACACAGTTGCAGCAGAGGCAAAATATTTCTTTAATAGCATCATAGGCTAGTCTTTCAAATGAGGATTTTGGGTTTTTTTGTTAACAGCACTCTAGTCCTTTTCACTTTTTTTGCCAACAGCTTATTTGAAAACCAGGCAGTTTGAGTAACTGTACTCGGCAGGAAAAACTATTAAAAGATGGTTGTTTTTATTGTTATTGCATGGCACATTTCCTATTTTATAGGTCAATCAGGATTTGGCAGAATTACTTGATGGTGGAAGGAACACCACCAAAGCAAACCCATCAGCCTCCTGCAGTGGACTGTCTGTACTAATCCTTCACCTCTCCAGAATAGTTCTATCATCTGGAACACTAAGAGTATTGTGCACAAATCACCTTTTCAGAAAGGTAGAATTATAGTAGGCCAGTATAATTTCCCATTCCTCCCTAGTCTCCAAAATTCTACCTACTACTACATATGGCTAAAGCCAAGTAGGCTACTCTAACATAACTAAATCACCTTGCTTGTCTTAGCCAGAGTCCAAGATGCTACTATTTTCCCAGTTATGTACCTGGTAATCAGCAATTTATTTTCAGTTCAGGAAACTGTCAGAGGAAAACAACCTTCTGCTCGATTTTTTCTCATTAATAAATTAACTTGTTCCTCTCCCCATATCTGCTTTGTCTTCTCTTGTTAAAAAGAAATAAAATCTCCACTCCAGAAGAAGAAACTCCAAGAGACTCTTAATTCAGGATTTTCTCTAAATTAAATTTTCTAATATGATGCAAGTTTTTGAAAATATTAATTGATGAGCTTTGGAAAAGATTTAAAAGATATAAATACCAGTGGTGGGGGATTTCACCAGTGTAATAACTGGTTCACTGAGTGTGCACTTCACTAAAATAAATCTAATTAAATAAAATAAAGCTAAAAATTAGAAATTAGGAAAATGTTATTATGCATAATGTCAATGATGTAAGGTACTAACTGCTATGCATATGTAAATGTTAGAAGTTGAAAGACTACTACCATGTATGCTTAAATAGTAAAGGGTAAGAGATGATGGATAAATACATAATACTTTTTAATATGGGAATTGTTGTATTAGGGGTTAGAAAAAAGAGGTAGAAAGTAGAAATGGGGAAAACATTCCTATGTACATTGTTACAAAATATAATATATTATAACTACAATGTATATATAAATCTTAGAAGTTGAAAGATTATTATTATGTATACCTAAACAGCANCCACTTAGTCACATGCCCCCCCCCCCGCCATGTCCACTGAACTGTTAATAAAATATTTTGAAACCCATCCCTGAGGAATCCGAAAGTGATTAGGATCTATTTGTTTCTTGCTTTGCTTGATGGAAAATCAGAACAGATAAATATGTCCAAATCACCACCTTGACAGTATTGATTGTTCTTAAGGTGTACATTATTACCTGCAGGAGTTTCCATCTTCCATTCAGGTCTTCTAGCCGGTTGAGCATATATGGAGAAAGTGGAATCTCAGATGAGGTAAACTGATGAGCCAAGCCATTAACATTGTTCATGTTCTCTTTAAGAGGTGTAATGTCTCCTTGGTAGACCTGCATAAAGTAACAATGTAAAGTTAGGATGCTAGAGATGAAATAAAAAAAACTTTATGTAAAACAAAACATAAAAAGAGCTGGGTTCTTGCAGATGTCTCATTACTCAAATTAGGTAATATCACCAATGCAAGAAAACAACCCAGCTAGAGAGCATCAAGAACTCCTCATTTCAACACTCAGCTACAAATATTCTCCTTTATTGAAACCATAAAACCTTGTAATTTCTGCAAATTCTGAAATAGTATAGCATCTCCTTGTTGGTAGTAGAGGGTTCGACTAAAAGACCTTCGAGGTTCCTTCCAGCTCTGTTCTGATTGAAAAATATTTGTTATTATTTTTCACCTAGAGAAAGTTAAAGGCAATGTATTCTGAAAAAGTTTTAAGCTGATTTCTAGATGTGAACAATTAGATTTACTATATTTATGTTCTTTAAGCAGAATAGCTACAATTTCATTTTGTAGTTTATTTTATTTTCATGGGGAAAATATTATATTTTTGGACTAGACTTAAAAATCTTTATGAGATTCATTGCTGCTTTTCATAACTTTAACACTAAGATCTCCAACTGTTGATGTGAACAATTAAATTAAATGGAGTAAATATGCTTGCAAGGATACAAATGACAACTTTTCTTTTTATTGTGTTTTGCACATTATGAAACACAATAGTCTGCCTTAAAATCAAAGCTAATATGTCTGTTAAAAATGTGGAAACACTGCTTTGAGCAATAAGAACATACAAGAGTAGTGCTATAAGTTTAGTTTGCTTTAGATGAGAAAGCACAGTTACTATATTTTTTGGAGTATAAGACACACCAGGGTATAAGACGCACCAAGGTTTTGAAGAGGCAAATTAAAAAAAGTAGGTAGGTAGATAGAGGGATAGAGAGGGAGAGAAAGAGAGANGATGAAACTTTTCTCATGTCCTTTTGGATTGGAGACATCTTAGTTTCAATTACCTTGAGGGTCATATCATATACATCATATCTGTCCACAGTATAAAATTATAATGATATTAACTTTTTTTGAATCCTTATATATTAATCCAATAGTTGCCAAAATTAAAGTTGCCTCTTTCCATGTAAAAATCATATGCTTAGATCAATTGTTTCAAATATTGGCTTTGTTACAAATTACTGAAACTCCCTTAGAAATTCTCTGGTAAAAAAGAAATCCCAGTTCTGGTAATTAAACGAATTTCTGAGTGTGCACAAGCTTTGAAAAATCAAACTATAAATAGCCATAAAAGTATATTTCAAAACATTTCTCCTATTATTATTGAATGAAATGAAATATCTAATATCATTAGCAATTTTTATTTGAATACATGAAAGATCATGTATTGCCTAGATTAGTTTTAATGGCTGTCCTGTTTCATTTTATTTTCTAATTCCAAATAAGATGTGCTATACTCAACAAAATTAGGTTTATTAATATTAACAAACTTGAATTCTTTAAATCTAATTCTGTACAGATTCAATAGCAAATCATTCCATTTTATAATTGAAAATATACTTAAAGTATTATTACATATTATTCAATTGTAATATGAATACAATATAATTATACACACACATGCATATACACAAACACATTTTAATGGAAATTCCTTATATCTCAAAATAGTTCATGGAGATAAAGTAGGACATAAAGTGATATTTGGACATTAAGTGTGAAACCTATTGGGTCAGGCTGGACAGCCTCTACTTCTATATTAAAAAGCTACATAGGCAGAGTTGCAGCTTGCAAAAGAATAGGAAGCAAGTGCCTAATTACAAGATGTTCCAGCCAACATCTCTATGTCAAAAGTCCAAACCACAAGGTTCAGATAAAGTTCATTAATGACACGTAGTCCATACCCGTAACAAAAGGAGAAGTATAAGGCTTTCTCCTCAAGGTAACCACTAAGAAATGAGTTAAGTCTTTCCATTTTACGCTGCCTTTGAGAATGTATAAGAACACATGCTTTGATAATGAAGGTTGTTCAGAACTTGCAATGCTAGCCATGGGCTAGCTTTCTGAACCTGGCTGCCAAATAAACTTTTCCTGTATCCTGAGAAGTCTAAAGCCTGTCATTTTCTGCAACAATTCTGGTGACGAATTGTAAACCCACTCGGTTAGGAGTGGAAGAGTGGGCTTGATCACCCCCTGGAGCCCAGGATAGCATCCCTTCCAAATGGAACCGGCTTATCCTAATGAGGCTCTAGATTTGTGTGGGAGGTTAATCTGCTGCAGTTCCTGTTGGTGACTGTGAGCTCCATGACTGCAGGTAGCAGAAAGTGTGTTAGAAATAGAACATGGGAGAGTGGGGAACGTTCCTCGAATGCCCCTCCAATACATGTTGAAAAATTCTTTCAGAAAGTTTTAGTAAAGTCTCTGGCAGAGAAATTATCTTCACCCCCATTGTACAAGCCTCAAGGAGGTTGTTTGCAGGGATTGGTAGTTAGAGACACATATGCTGTTGTTAATCAGGTTGTTGCAGCCTGTCTCAGTTGTGAAAAAACAACCCAAAGACAGGATGGAAACTTCCTTTGGAAGTCCTTCTACAGGGCTCTCAGGTGATTTCCCCACAATATTCCCAGAAATTGGGATTTTGAGATCTCTTGGTTTTGTGTGTACTAAAAGACATTGTGCCAAGATTTGGGGTGCCTTTCTGTAGGGCCTCAGATTTTGGCCACCATCAGATGAATCAAGAGCCCCACCCAGATGTAAATGATGTGTTAATGAAAGTCTCCATACATCTTGATCTTTAAAAATATGCCAGTGTGGGCTGGGAGATCAAGATAGAAGAGTTTGGATCTTTAAAAATTAGCCAGCTCCACTGGCAGATCCAAATTAAAAACAAAACACCCCAGGGCAGAGACAGGTATTAACAATCTAGTGCTTAAGGAGATAGAACATCGGGCATAACTTTGAGCAAAAGTAAGAAATTTAGCAGGTAATAAGAAGGTAAAGCCTATTGAATGGGAAGACCAAGGTAATTGGACTTGATTAATTTGATGTAATGTCTGTTGAAATTCTTAGGTGTGTCTAAGACAGACATGATAAAACCACTAGGGTGAAAGTTCTGGAAAACTTCATGGAGCTTATTGCTAAATCTAAAGGAAAAGGATTATGTCATATTCAAAAAAGTACATTGCAATGCAGGCCAGCTATTTGTTTAAGGTAAACAAGTCTTTAAATATTTAAATATATTTAAGTAGAAATATTTTTGTTAGCTTTACACAACTTAATTCTTATGTGATTAGAGGTTAATTGCTTCCCCACTTAAATGAGTGAGATAAATGAGGGGATTAGATATTAGCTTTTAATAGGAACAATAAATACAGTACATGTAAAATGTAAATTATTGTTGAGTTGCAAAAAATTAAAACCAGTTTGATTCCAGAAGACACCGAAGGAGATGATTTTCTGGGCAATTATTCATAACTGGAGAAGAGAGACTATTGACCTTCCTCCCTTCCTTTGATAAAAAAATGAAAAACAATTTTAAATATGATTTTATTATTGTTATTTAGGTAAAATATCTGAGGTGTTTAGATCATCTGAAAATTTTAACACAATTGTTACTGGAATCTGAAATTTCTATGATAAACAGGCAGCTACAGGCAGCTACACATCCAGCAAAAATTAGCAAAAACACTCCCATTGGGTCAGCTGAATTTGAATTTACAACCAAGTCATTTGCCTAATGACCATCATAAAAATTGTCATAAAATCGAGTGCAGTCAAGTGATTACCCAATTTAAGACCACAAAGATTTATGACTAAAATTCCAGGCTGAATTGTGAGATGTAATGTAAATATATTATTTCCTGTATACTATATCCCAACTTTCCTTTTTTGTTTCAAAGCAGTAACAAAAATTCTACTGCAGCAGTGAAGTATCTATGATTTTGCAGATATTGCTGAATCACAATTTCCATAATCAAGTTGGCTAATACTGTGCGTGTATCTATAATGTGAATTGTAGTTTAGCAAAGTATGATCACAACTTTATTATACTAGGACAGTGATGGCTAATCTTTTTGTCCTCGCATGCCAAAAGCACACAAGCATGTGCACGACAGTGTGTGTGATTGCCCATACCCATAATACAACATGGACCCTCCCTGCACATGCAGGCATGACCACAACTCGCACCCCATTTTGGGCATAACAGGCCTCCCTGAAGTCTCTTGGGACCAAAAAAGGAGAGGAGGGCACGGGAAGTGTGCCCCTCCATGCTCCCCCGCACATGCATGCTTACCAGTGGTGGGATTAATTTTTTTTTACTACTGGTTCTGTGGGCGTGGCTTGGTGGGCATGGCATGGTTTGGTGGGTGTGGTTTGGTGGGCATGGCAGGGGAAGGATACTGCAAAATCCCCATTTCCTGTTTCTGTTGGATGTATATAGTTATCTTCACGATGCCTTGTATAATGTTTTAACTGCATTTTGATTAAACAACACTGCAGAGACCCCAAAATTAGCTGGCCTGCAGCAAGTATGCATAGTGGAGATCAGCTGGGGCGACGGCTCATGTGCCAGCTGAGAGGCCTCTGTGTGCCACCTGTGGCACACGTGGCATAGGTTTGCCATCACAGTACTAGGATATATTTGAGACATTGTATACGGTTCTCATCTTAGATATTAAATGGAAAATCTATGCCTACTCATTCAGCCAAATTTTATTCTCTAGATAATTAATTAGATAATCGCTATTGCCATCAAGACTATCTGCAATTTCTCATGAAGCAATGTTTCACTATGTTCCAGCAACTTGTTGTTCACTATTATAAAATACAAAAAGAAATTATCTTCAGAAAAATGTGTTCTCCAACCTGATCCTTTAAGTCTTCCAATGGTGTGTACCCTCAGCATTGTAACTCTAACTCATTGTAGCTGTCAGCACCTCTCCATTAATTAATTAGGAAAGAAAGACCATGAGACTCCATACGTGGAAAATCAAATGTACTTTTACATCTATCCACCTTGCAGCTCATCTCATTTTCTTTTCT